AACAACAACACGGCTACATGCAGGGTCCAAGAGTGCCATAAGCTAGGACCATTCCCCAAGGCTTATGCTTATATACAGGAAGCAGACCATATTCCCTAAGGCAGCTACTCAGGTACTTGTGGTAGATCCCACCATGGAGCTGATTACCAGTCTCATCATGGGGAATAACTACCACCAGCTGCCTACCCATTCAACAAGGCCCAGCCAAGTTGACACACAAATATAACCACCACAGTAACCTTTTACCATTTAGTGTGTGTTTTTCTCCATCAGAGATTAACAGACATTCTGGTTTCACCAGTCAGCACAATATAAGAAAAAGGGAGGTGGGGTGGGCTGGGAGGAAGTAGAGGAGTAGAACTTAGAATGACCGACTTCTTTAGTTGCCAAGGAAACCAAAACCAAACTCATTGCCATCTAGTTGATTCTGACTCATAGTGACCCCCATTGGCTTTCCAAGACTAAATCTTTACAGGAGCAGATTGCCTCATCTTTCTTCCACAGAGCAGCTGGTGGGTTCAAACCACCAACCTTTTGTTTAGCAGCCAAATGCCTTAACCACTATACCACAAGAGCTCCTTAGTGGCCAAGGAAGCACATACAAGATCAAGTATCGTCTACTTTCACTGTCATTTCATACAAGAAGTATTTTAGGACTTTGTTATCTGGTGCTGCTATAACAGCAACACCCCAAGTGAATGACTTTAAGCAACAGAAATTTATTTTCTCACAGTTTATGGGGGTAGACATCTGAATTTAGGGTGACGGCTCTAGGCATAGGATTTTCTCTGTGTCAACTTAGAGGAAGATCCTTGCCCCTTCTGAGCTCCTGGGCAATCTTCCTGTGTCTTCGCATCTCTTTTTCCCCATCTCTACTCTGCTTGCTTGTTTAATCTCTTTTATAACTCAAAAGAATACAACCCTGATGCACGCCCCTCTTGATTTTAAACCATGCAATATCCCCATGTTCTGTTTGAACGACAGCCTCTTGGTCTATGTACAGGTTCCTCATAAGCATTAAGTAAGTGGTCTGGTTATATCCTTTGACCATACTTATTCAATCTGTATGCTGAGCACATAATCCAAGAAGTTGGAGTACATGAAGAAGGCAGCACCCAGATTGGAGGAAGACTCATTAACAACTTGTGCTATGGTGATGACACAACTTTGCTTGCTGAAAGTGAGGAAGACTTGAAGCACTTACTTATGAAGATCAAAGAATACAACCTTCAGTATGGATTACACCTCAACATAAAGAAAACAAAAATCCTCACAATTGGACCAATAAGCAACATCATGGAGAAAAGATTGAAGTTGTCAGGAATTTCATTTTACTTGAATCCACAATCAACACCCATGAAAGCAGCAGTCAAGAAATCAGACACTGTATTTTGCACTAGGCAAATCTGTTGCAAATGACCTCTTTAAAGTAGAAGAAGCAAAGAGATCACTTTGAAGACTAAGGTGTAACCTACCCAAACCATGGTATTTTTAATCACCTCTTATGCATGTGAAAGCTGGACAATCAATAAGGAAGACCAAAGAGTTGATACCTTTGAATTGTGGTGCTGGCAAAGAATACTGAAAATACCACGGACTTCCGTAAGAACCTCCTGGCAGATGTGCAGCTGGACTGCTACTAGGAAGTGAGAGTGGTCAGACAAGCATAAAGGTTAGGATTTATGACACATATTTTGAGGGTCATAATTCAATCCATAACAAGGCTACAGAAAGAAGGAAGGATGTAATCTCAGAATGTAAGATACTCCTTTAAACTGAGTAAATTTAATATTATGAAAAACTCAGCATATGTGCTTTTCTCTCATCTCATCAAAGCTGACACGGTCACAAAATTTAAGAGGTTTTTTTGTTTAGTTTTGTTTGGAGGATGAACAGGAGAAGAGCAAGAGAAGGGAGGAAGCAGGCCAGCATGTGTCTTTCAATTATCCTCTACCTCTTTGTGTATAGCCATTTACACCCACCAGCCACTCCTCGGAAGGAAGGTTGGGCAATCCTACTTCCGTAGTGATACTGCCTCGGAAACCCAAGAAGGGGTGGCTATGAGTCGGGGCCGACTCAACAGCAAACAACAACAACAACAACAACAATGAATGCCAAATTTCCTAAATAAAGGCAGGGAACTGGCTATATTAGTGATTAGACTTAAGAACTAATCTTGGGCAAAGTTGGATCTGTGCCGTCTATGATGGGATCTAAAAAGAAGTTAATTAAGGGAATAAACACTGCATGTGTATTATGAGTACAGCTTTGCAGAGAATCCAAGTGCATATGGACAAGGCTTGAATGAAAATAGCTGTGGTGTTAGGGTTAGGGGATTCGGGACTGATCTTTCTTCCTTTTGAATTTCCCTTCATTGTTGCTATGGTACCCGCTGCACAATAAACAAATATTGGGAGGAACATCTGCTCTGGCTTCAGAGATCTGTATTGAAAGACGGCACTTGCTGCTTATCTCCTGGGTACAGCCACATGCCTGAGCTGTAGTGGGGTGGGATTTGAATGGCTGAATGGTTAACCTCGCTGGTTAGCATGATTCAGAGTATGTGCAAACATAGGTTAGTGCTATGCATTTGACTCTGCCAATTAACCCAATGCCAAAGAAGGGCAAATATGGCAGAAAGCCTTTCAGGAAAGTCCACTGTACCTTAGGCAGAATTAATACTCCAGCAAGGGGCATTTTCCTTGAAAAATGTAATAGGTAGGTGGTATTCTAAGGGACAATGTCTCCCAAGAAGAAATTCATCCCATCCCCTTCCTATTCCAAGCAAAATTTTCCTTAAAAAAAAAAAGCTCTCATTTATATGACTTATCTAGAATAGGCAAATTATAGAATTATAGAGACCAAGGTCTATTCGTAGTTGTTGGAGCTGGGAGGGAGGGGGAAGTGTCACTTCTTGAGGGGCAGTGAGCTTCTGTTAAAGGTAATGGAAAAATTTGGAAGTGGATAGTGTTGATGGTTGTATATGATGAATGTAATTAACGTCACTGAATTGTTCATAGAAAAATATTGAAATGGCAATATTTTGTGCTATATATTTATGATTTAAAAAAGAAAGAAAAAAAATGTTCAACTACCTAAGAATCCTGGAGCATCCTGATGTATGAATTACATCTTCTCTAAGTTCAATGAAAATCATCCATGTAGCCAAATAATTGAGCCCTGGCCCAGTTCAGAGGGTCTGCATTTCCATAGCCCCTATCCTTTGAATCACCTTGATGCAATGAAAATGTTTATCCATGGGCTTTGGGAAAGCAGGCAAACTTATTGCCCTTTTGTGTTTGGTCTTAGCTCTGCATAAAGGATCAAGCCCCCCAGAGTGGAACTGCTCTGTAAGTACTCTGGGTTGGGGTCAGTGATTTTCCATAAACAGTTGATAGCAGAGGCCAATCATAAAGCCCATCCCTGCAAACTCCTACTGAGACGGGAGGTGCTGGAAGGTGACGGAGTTCAGAGGAGAATGGTAGGAATCTGCCTCCACTTTAAAAGAAAGGTGAGGTTATGCTGGAAGTTTGCCTAGAACCCAAAACACCTTCGGTCTTAAGCCTGCATTCTCTTTAAGCAATGTTGGGCTAATGCTTATGCAACTACATTTTATTGCCACACAATGTCAGTGACTGAGAGGGCCTGCTCTGGGGTAAGCCACTGCTCCTATATGCCTCCCCAAAAAGAACAGAAGCCACAGTCTCCAGCCTACTACTGCCTTCTCTTTGGAGCTTTCTTTAGTCTGTTGGCTACAGTATATGTCAAGTGGACAGTGGGTAAAAAGAACAGACATTTCCTATAAGTGTAAATTTTGTTTTGAAATTTTTTATTGCTTTGATTTTCATTGTAATTCATTTTTTGGTCCATTTCAGATGAGAAACCTGAGATGTCCATCAACTACAGGAATAGTTTTGCATCAGGGCCTCCTTGATTTATGTAGTTCCATCTGTATTTATTGCTATTATTAAATTCACTCCAGACAGGTTGTTAGAGGTTATGAGAAGTGTTTCATTAATCACTTAGCAGTATTTGTTATGACTAATCTGGTATACTTATGGAACATTTTTTGGTGAAAACTGTTGTTGAGAATGAAAAGTAAGATTTTGTTGAGCCTTCTTGGTTGTATTAACTGAGATTCATTACAAATAGGTTGGTAACTGCTCTGGTTACCTAGTGCTGCTCTGAGAAGAATATACAAATGGGATGGCCTTAACAAACAGGAGTTTATTCTTATAACTTGGAGGCTTTAAGTTCAAGTTCAAAGTGCCAGGCTCTAGAGGCTAGGTGAAAGCCCCTCAACCTTGGGGTCCAGCTCTGCCTCCTGCTCCTGGCCCACTGGAGCTAGAGGCATTTCT